CTTAGCTTTCACATTGTTTCGGTCCAGTGTGGTTAGTGGACCACACCCACGGCTGTCCGCCTTCTAGGGCTCAATTAAGGGACCTCAGTCGGGAAAGAAAGCTACCTTGTATCTAACCTAAAATATCCCTAGAGACTCTTTATTAATTTATTTAACCGTCCGAATAGCAAAAGGGCCGGTCGTATCTTCAAGTTCATTAACTAAACTCTCAAATTGCAACGTACAATATTATTTATTTAAAAGGCTTTTAACGCCGAGTAAGAATTAAGTTATTAATTAAAATTTTAAAAAATTACTCAAAACACTATTTATAAATACAACCTTGAATGGACATGCCTCTAAAATAGGACCAACTCATGTTTGCAAGCTTGGTCTACCCTGTCGTGGCTCTTTTGATAAGATCAAGACCAATTTGAAATACCACCGATCTTCTCAAAGTCCTCCAAAAGATATCTGTGGCTTGAAGCAAAAATGGCCAATGTCAACTTTCGGAAAATGAGCTTTGAAGTTTTTATTTTCCATTAGGCTCTATGTTAATTTTTTTATCAAACTCTTCATAAGTTATAATATACATTTGATTTCATTTTCAAAACGCAACTCGAGGCAGTTTCTCCTATTATTGAAAGATTATTATTAAGATTGAAGAAATTTATTTAACCCACTTAATCAATCTTCAGTCCAATTTCAAATGTTTAAGTCCTAAAAATACTAATAAAACTATGAACAATTCCCCCCACCCACAAAACTTTTTTATTATTGTCCTCAAAAATCAACCAATGCGGTAAGATTTATAATCGGCAGAATTGTGATATGATGAAAGTCGTCCGGCGATTAATTGATGTCTTGTCGTAATTAAACTAGGACTAAAGAACTAAATTATACCCTAAATGCTATACCTATATAACGGTTACAAAACAATTTTACTAAAAATACCAAATTAAGATAATTCATGCTCAAATATTTCTATTCTAGTACACAATACGATTGATAAAAAGTATAATTTTTTTAATAGTTTTCAATTTGTTTAAATAAAAAATGATATTTAAAATAATTATTTATTATGTCGACTAAAAAATATTACTACTAAACAATATTATTAATGAACATTCTATAGATGTGAAAACACACCAATATCATCGAATAGCACCATTTGCCATCTTATTACCTTTAATTTTTTTTTTCAAAGTGAACGGGCCGGGGGCGGACAATAATAGGCCACTTACCCGGTTACCAATTGCTTTACACTTACCGATCAGTGCTGTGTGGGTAGTGGGGTAAATAGTCTCACTGGAAGTGTGAGGGATCGCCTACGCAAGACCAGTGAGCTATGTGGTGCAAAAGTGTGTTTAGTGTGTATAGTGTGGATGTGTAGGAAACTTAAAACTATAACTAAAAACTAAATAAATAAAACTCAAACTCGATGATAATAATAATAATAATAATATTCAATAAAATGCTATAATAAGTGGTAATAAATAAATAATTAGCCCTTTTGGCTCAAGATACGATTGTGAATAAAATTCACAAACACAAATAAATAATTAGTATAAAAAAAAGGATTGGTAAACTAAAAGGAATTAATTGCCCTTTTGGCACAATAATAAATTAATCTGGTCTGTGAATAATAATTCACAAACACAAATAAATAATTAATATAGTAATGACTAGATTAAAAGGTAAAGTTAAGTGAGTGCTTAAAGCTTATGACGTTAAAAGTATTTTGATAACTAAGGTGGTTATTAGAACAACAAAAATTATTCACAAATACAAATATTGATTATTGACTAGATTGAACCCTTATGGCTAACTAGCAATATAGATGGTACGATTAACCTTATGTCTATCGCCCTAACTCGTATTTAGTAAATGAGATCAAAATATGTTCTAATAATTCACAGTAGTTAACTAAAATACAAATAAAACAAACTCAATAAAATATGGTATAAATAAAAAGTACTCACAAACCGAAGAACTGCAAACCGCTGGCCAGGGCTGCTACCTAAACCTAAATAATACTAGACACAAAGTAAAGTGAACAACAAAAAAAAATATTAAAATAGTTTTTTTTTTCCTTATGACAACTCAATAATGCCCTTATGGCTTAAAAATACAATAATAAACAATTTTTTGTCCTTATGACAACTCAATAATGCCCTTATGGCTTAAAAATACAATAATAAACAATCTTTTGTCCTTAAGACAATAATAATAAAAAATCACAGTGCCCTTATGGCTTAAAAATACTATAATAACACTTAAAACTAAAAAACACTGAAGAAAAACACACAAAAAAGTCTAGATTAATATTATATACTTCAAATTCACAAGAATGCAACAAGTGCACTACTAACACTGATAATACGGGCGTGGCACATTTGTTTACATAGTATAACCCGGTGCGTATATGTGTGTGTGTGTGTGTGTGTGTGTGTGTGAACAGCTGACCGGTAGTATTGCCAGTATAGATCGTGCGGAGTAGGGCGGAGTGGTGTGGACGGCCGCGACAACCAAGATAAGAGGGCATCTGTATCATTGGCGATAACCGGCATAGAATTGCGCTCCATTATCTGTTATAGCCTCAACACAAAGTTTAAAAACATTTGGCGCTGATACTTCCAAAGACACAGTAATGCGGTTAAAGCTATCCCATGGAGACACCTGTCAGCCTGACGTTAACGGTACTCTATGGATTTTAATATTTCAATGACAATTTTTTCGACAACGACTAAATTGTAAATTAAGTGAAACAAAACAGTTAAAAAAATCGACAAGAATATATTGAACAGGAAACCAAGTGCAAAATCATTAAAAAATATGAAACCAAATTACTTTAAAAAAACACAGGGCAGTAGTTCTACTGCTCATAACGAAAACACAATCGATGGAAACACGTACAAGTAATATGATTTTTTTAAGCTAAATGATTTTTACGGCACTATATATCAGCTGTATATGTTGTTGTTGAATTAGATAAATGTCCAAAAAACTTATTATAAAAGTCAAAGTGGATATTTTGAATGGTTTTTTTTTTGACATGTAACGATCAACTTTTGATAAAAATTATGTTTTGCTTTATACTAAATTAGAAATTTACTTCATAAGTCGTATTTGACATTTAACAGCTTGTTTAAATATAAATCATTATTAGCCTAAGATGGTATGGTTTCACCCTATTATGACTTTTTTTTTGTCGTGTAAATATTTATAACTATTTAAAAATTTATAAAAATTGGATCATTTTTAAAAAAAATTTAAGAAATATAATATATTCTGTATAAATTGTAATAAATCCAATAAGTTGCTTTAATTGAAGAATATAATGATTGTGTGAATATCGGAATCCTATGATGATTGCAATATAGAAAAAAATAAAAAGTTGGTTCAACTAAAACTATGGTTAATATAGGGACACAATACATTTCTAGTCGGAATAACTAAATAAATAGTTGATCCAAATTATTGTATAGAGTCGTTAACTAAAAATTTAGTTTGGGTAAATATTTAGTTATTCAAACAAGATATTGATTGTGTTCCTATAATAACCATTTTTTTAGTTGGGACAACTATGTATTTTTATCTTTGTAGTTATCAGTTATTTAAGTTACTTAAATTTATTAATATTAAACTATATTGTTTTTAAAAGTTATGCTGTTTAAGAAATATATAAATACACAGGTGCAGTTGTGTGACCTCAATTTTTCTTTTTTTTTTAACCCCTCACAACTTAGTTTTTTTGATAGCAACTTTTGAAACGTAAGCGGTAACGCATATCTTTCATAGATTTTTTAAATAGAGAAAGATGTAATATAAATTTTGACTGATTGAAAACCATGATGGACAACTAATTTTTAAGTTATAAGAGTTTAAAAGCTAAGATGAGAGGAGAAGTGTGGTTGAAAAATTGGGATCACATTACATAATAACAGTATGGAACAACAACACTTTTAATTTCTTATTAAACCCTATGATATATTAAGTAACCAATGATAAAATAATCATCCTGTATAACTCATTGGAAATTAGTATATATAATTAAAATTAAAACAAATAAATGAATATTATTTTTTTAGAATTTATTTTGAATTACCTGTTTTAACATTCTAGTTACACTTTTTTCTAATCCATGTAATCCTTCTATATAATTAGGACTATAGTATTGAAATATCTTAAATTTTTTAATTACTACAGTCCGGATGATTACAATATGTTTCATATTTTAATTATTACACTCAACATATACCAGACGTAATTATAAATAAGGATATTTATGTATTAAACTTTTTCCAAAAACTATGTATATAACTTATTAAAAAATAATTTTTAATTAATAAACATTGTAGACGTGCATTAAATATGTCTCTAATTAATGTAATAATTAGTTTTGATTGGCATATTTTATGATTTCTAACAAGACTACCTATCGTTATGGAAATGAAATTATCCATTGAGGCCATAATAATTACCACATTATGATTTTTTTTGGTTTTTCATATATAAGTTCGTTATAATTTGTTTAACAAATAAAGTTGTATAATAAAACAATGTACACAATAGTATCACACAGTTAAATAAATTATCGTCTCTTATATTTTATTCAAAAATCACCTTCAATCAGTTTCATTCTACATTATGTAGTAAGGCAGAGTGAGGGTCTAAAACAATATTTAAAAACTTGATAAAAAAAACAGGAATACACATAACTAATTTGACAGAGTTTTTTTTATTAATAAACTGAAAAAAAATAACAATGTATTTTGGTTATAAATGTATAAAAGAAACAATTATAAAATTGATGTATTTACGGTTAAATATATCGATTATTATCTAATTCATACTATTAATAATTAATAAATATAATATAATATTTTTTTTATTATTAGACACCGAGAAGCATAATATTTCAATTGATAATTACATAAAACTGGGTCAAATATTACTCGTATTATTATCATTATGATTATTAAACATGTCTAATTAATATTATTTACTATTGTGAGATATCAGTTTGCATCGTCGGATTCAATGCGCTCTTCAAAATCAATTAATAACAAAAGAATTTCAGTATACTCCGCGACATTTATGGCTTTATTATCTAAAAAAAGAAAATTAATTTTTTTATTTGACGATGACCGACAATCGTCTTTAATAACATTAAAACACTGCATAAATTAACTTCACTTTTGAATGTATTTATATAATGTTGCGCTCTTTCGAAAACTTCTGGTGGCCCTTTCAATGATGCCAAATCACGTATTGACTCGTCCTTTAGGGCTTCGGTATGCTCATCCAAAGATAGTAGACCGTCTTTGTTTTTGTCCATCTTAATAAATTTTTTAATGCCAGATATGACCTCGGTTACTTTGAATACTCTTCTTTCCTAAATAATTGTTAATGTAAAAATGTACAATAATTATTAATTAGGAATGGAGATAGTATAACAAACATAACAGCGTTCAACTTTGTAAGTTATATAAAACAAAATTATTAACGAAATTACATTTTTTGGAACGGTCATATTGCGTTCTGCCGCAACGATGATCAAATCCATAAACAATACTCCAGGGGGTCCTATACGAGTTTTAATAATTAGTAGTTCTCCAATTATTTATCATACCTAGTACAATATAAAAATAATTCTTACGTTTGGATTTAAATAGCTTTTCCAAATCGTCATCTATTTCTATACTAAGGTTTTGGAACACTTCTTTACTTGCGTCATCATTTATGCCATCTGATGTTTTGTGTGCATCGTATACATCAATAAACATTTTTATTTGTGCTAGGGTCAGACCAAGGCCCTACAATGTATGAAAAAATATTAATTTAAGCACTGTCTAGCATGAATTTGATGATAGAAATGGTTACGTATCAGTAGTTTATATACTTTTATGGAGGGTATTTAGTACTAGCTCGGTTTTTAGTCCTATTTTTAAAATTAGATTAACACCAAGCATCATTAACTATTTATCTTAAAAATGATGAAATAATTTTGGCCTTTTGATTACTTTAAACATCACAGTATTTGTATTGCAATAAGTAATTTGATGGAAAAATTGTACAGTCCATATAAAAAAAAAGTTTATACAATAAGTATTATAAATTAGATATAGCAACAAAAGCCTATACTTAACTCCTTAATAAGTATGTAGTTTGATTCCACTACGCCTATTTTCAAGGAGTAAAGTAAATGCGATGTTCTGCAAATTCTTAATTTAAATGTTAGTCTGTGATGTTCAAATATTAGTTCAGTAATTATGGTTTTTTTAGTAGTGAATTTATTTTTCTACCACAGCATCTTTGACAGCGATTTAAAAAAAATGTCATCTTAACAGAACCACGCATATTCAATATTATCTAATAATCGTGGACAATTATTTTCTATATATTTAAAAAAATTAAAACTTTTTCTAACTTCTCTTGTCATTTTTTTAATATTATCAACCAAACATTCAAAGCCAATATTTATATTCAGACAGTTCTTTATTTTTTTTAATGCTTGTATACATGTTAAAATTTAGGTTTTTATTAAAACCGATACGAAAACGTAGTTCTTCTTTTTTAAACGATATAACAAAATGTACTATGAACATTTCGCTCTGACCTACACACTTTTTCAGAAACCCTTTCAAACGATTATTTTTTAACGATATGACGTCCTCTTGACCAAAAATTAAAATAACTGAAGAGATATGTGTTAAAATCATTGAAAAAAAGAACTTTGGTATATAGTGGTATTAATAGTCAAAAGTCAAAACTGATAAATTCTAAAAAATACAATTTTAAAAAAATTAAATTTTTTCATTTTTCTTAACTTTGTAATTTTATAGTTTTGAACAATAAATAATTTGGTTTTGCATTTGTTATTTTCGCTTAGACCAGGTTTTTTTAATACATAACCATTTTTCGGAAGAAATAAAAATATTAGGAACTGTTTGTTTGTATTTTTTAAATCCTTATTTATTTTAAGTTGGTCTTTATAGAAAATTTCTATTTAATGTATATAAGAATTTAATTTCCTTATTTATTAAAATTTTGTTGGCGTATTGCGCCTACTTTTGGTTTGATTTCTGTCATAGTCAACAAGAAATCCACAGCGTTCATTACATAGTCATCTAAAATTAAATTGAAAATTAAAAACATTGTACATCATGTGAACCACCTCGTCTGCATTACCATCGTTTTCGGTTTGAATGTTTTTTATTATTTTGTTTAATGCAAGATTTACAGTTTGCCAATAATCAAAAACTGCTGATAGCTGGTCAAGATAAAGATATCCCATTTGCTCATGAGATTTGAAGCGTTCCTCAAACTCCTCTAGGTAAAAACATACTTCCAAAATCGTGAGTTTTTTAACCTGAAAAAAATGTATTAATACAGAGTGACTATAACAGCAATGATCTGACCATAACTTTGTCTTGAAAAAATATCTTAGTTTATAGAGTGTTTCGTTAAAGATGTTAATTTTCTCTAAAAAAAACACACACAAAGTCGGAATTATTTTAAAAGTAAATAAGTATCTCATCCTTAAAAAGTCATCCTGTATAGTAAAACCGTTTAAAAATTTTAAATTCATAGGAATGGGGTTATATTTTTGAAAAATATATCAAATTTTAGCTATTTCACAAGTTTAATAATAGTATGAAAAAGAATTATTTAAAAAAAGTCACATAGAACCGACGCATATAAAACCACAGTTTTGATATTTTCCTATAGTTGGTATATATATATATATATATAATTTAGAAATTATACTACTTTAATACCTTGGTTTTGTCAGTACGTTTGATTTCATTATAGACCACCGTCCACAATAAATGAAATAAATTTATAGCATCGGGCTGATCTGTATACAAATAGTTTAGTTGTTAATTAAGTCATTAATTTTATAATTAAATTAATTGTAACGATAGATTTTGCCTGACACACTATACGCTTCTAAACCTAACCTACCAAATCTTATATGTCGGATAGCACCATGGGCTGGTCGTGTATTACAAATTTAATATACCTAATGATACAATATATTAAATACAAGCTGTCCGGATCCGGCGTTGCCCGAGATTTAGTCTTCCAGGGCTGAGTAAAATAATTCCCATTCCCCCATCTTCATCCCCATCCCTCATCTATAATCACTTATCTCCTATCTCTTATCAGGCAACAGCGTGACAGCATTTTTTTAATACTTTTTCCGGTTATTATGTCGTCCTCTTACTCAAGGGTCCAAGTCCCGGTCCCAGATCCCGTTCCAACAGTTAAAAGCTTGCCCAGAATCGTTGTACATAGAATCGGCCTGTTCCTTTAATCAACACCTACTATTTGCTTGAGTACCGTGGTTACCATGGTTACAAACGTTTAATTTATTTACATTTCGTGTTTAAAATACAAAGTTCGTGTTTGATGCCACTCTTAGGGGTGGAATATTCAAAAAGTACTATGCCAGTTAGGTTTGCGGGAATGTACTTAACAACTTCCCAAAGTCTTATGGCGATCAGATAAATGGTTTACTAATGCATAAAGGACAAGCAAAGAAACAGACAGACATTCATTTTTATATATATAGATATATACTAGCTGCCGTGTACCCGGTTAATTTTAACGAAAAAAAAAACAGCTGATTTATCTGACAAGATATGAGAGATTGGAGATATGTTTTTACTTTGGAACACAATCGGAAAATCGACACCGAAAATTTATCCTTATATATATCCTTCTATATCCTTATATGTCCTTCTTATGAGGGTGGGAATGGGGATGAAAACGAGGATGGGAATGTTATCTCTATGTGATAGGATATAGGAGATAGGGGCTAAGAGATAGAGGGTAAGAGATAGGAGATTAGAGATGAGGGATGGGGTTGGGGTTGGGACTGGGATCGGCATGACGCAGAACGTTACCGAGAGAAATTTGTGCATGTGGTGTGATCTAGCGGTTGTAAGTGATTATGTATCAGAGATAAGAGATTAGGTACTCCTAATTAGGTACACCGAATTAGGTACTCCAAATAAATTACTCCTAATTAGGTACTCTTATGTAAAGAGCGTATATCCCTTAACGGCCATAACGGTAGACCTAAATTGCCCAACAAATAGGTTATATAGTTGTTTAGCAGCATGTTACCTAAATGGTATCCAAACTCAATGGTAGGATCCTTCCATTCCATTTTAAAAGTATTTTCCACAACTTGTCTGATTTCGTCCTCCCCGACTCCATTGGTAGTCATTTTGTAAGGTTTATACAGGACTTGCAACCGTTCTAATTGATCACTGTTTAGTCCGGAGCTCTGAAATAAAGTAAGACAGCTATAAATTTTATTGTTAAACGTACAAAATGAACCTATTGCCAAAGACGTGGCAGATTTACACTCATTTGTATCACACATAATCGGTATTATTTAGTCTTGGCCCCCCAGCTCGAAAACGACAGAAAATAGCATCACGAAAGTAACACAATAGTAGGGCGATCTAGCGGTTGTTTTTTTATATATAATATGTATACATATATGTGTAAAACTTGTCTTCAGGCAAGTATTTTTTAACTAGACAATTATTATATAATAATAATTATACTCAGTGCATCAAATACCAAAATTATTTTATTGTTTTCTAAACTTATTACTTACTTATTCACATCCATATTTTATATAATAAATAAACTGATATACATTCATATTGTTTTAAGTTAACTATGTAAAGTACAAATCCATAATATATTGAAATGTTTTTTAAATGTGTAACAAAATATTCATCCTAATAAATGAATGATTAAATTTATCCAAAATAACTAACCAGGTGAATGTTGCCAATAAACCGATTAAGCAAATATTAAAAAACTCCAAAAAAACATTTGGCGACAACATAAAATTAAGACTATACTGTCATCATAATATATATCGCAAGGAGATTATAGATAGAAAATAGGTAATCATTATTCAAGAGCCAGCAGACTAAATCATGTTTTATAGTTTAAGCATTTAGGCTTAAAAGCCTACAGTATACTAAAGTATACTGTAACTTTTTTGAGGTCATACTATCCGGGATAAATAAAAAATATAAATACAATATCATAATCTTACCCATGCTGACGTTAGAAAATACACCGCGCAGACAACAAGGGCGCACGTGAAATGCATAATTATGGGTGTATTTTTAAGACGGTAATAAAAATTCAATCGAGTACTGGTAACAATACAGCTCTAAGACTATTGGCACCGAACTCGAACGAAGAATAATCCCTATAGTAAGTATTTTCTATGTGTCTTGTGGGTGTTATCGTCTTCGGTTTTTTGCTAGATAAAGACAAAACCGTGTTTTGCAAAATTTTTTCAGCACTTATGTTTACAAAGATGTGTTCTTTTTTTTTTCACCGCGGGCGAGTACATTTTTATATTACAATAACATGTTTTTTTCTTTTACCAGTGTGGACAACAGTCAACAAAAATCACAAAATTTAGTAAAGGCCATATTTATGAACACTAGAGCCGATTTAGTGGGTGCCGTAAAAAAAAAATTGAAAATTTAGTTGTGGTAGATGAAGACGTAGATCTTCTTGTACTATTAGTGCCATTAACGACTGCATGAAATATTGATTAGTTGCTATAGCCTAAAATATTAATACCAAAGAATGAACTAAACACTAGTGTCTTATTTTTTGAAAAATTTGAAAATTGATTCTTAAGGCGACCCTAGCGAAGACAACTCATTAACCAGAGGTCCAAATTTAGGTTACTAATTGATAATTTGTTAGGTTTTATTTTATACTCAGAATTTTCGTTGTATATATTGCACTAGTAAATTATAATAAACGACAAAGTGTGTAAGCAACATACAGTGAGTAGTACTTTGTTTGCGTCTTATTTACCTTAAATTCGTATCAGTATGAAACAACATATGAGTAATAAAAATACATAAAAAATAATAAATCAGGGTCCAAGTACCCAGAATTAATGTACTATTAAACGAGTTTAAATATTGGAAATATTAAAACGGTAGTTGTAGTGGATGAAGATGTAGATCTTCTTGTATTAATAGTGGCATTAACAACTGAAAGAAACAGTGATAAGTTTCTAAGGCCTAAAATATTAGGCCAAAAGGCAAGAGAAAGAAACTAAAAACTAGTGTCATATTTTTTTAGAAATTTAAATTTTAGCAAATTTTGTGTTGAAAAATAATAATTTAAAATCAACATGTTTTTCAATTTTCAAATATTTAGGGTTAATTTTTGTAACCTGAATTGTTCTTATGCAAATCGTATTCAAGGCAATCAAATACCAATGTTGGCTAGTCAGGATATTTTTTTCCACAACTTTGCTATATACATACAGGGTGATCATTTTATCGTGAGCCACTCAATATCTCACAGGGTTTAATAAGAAATTAAATTTTTTCTTTTCATAGTGTTTTTATACAATGTGTTCTCAAGTTTTTGTTATTTATTTTTACTTCCCCCAAATTTTCTTGATAGCAACTTTTGATTCAATGTAACATCTTTTTTTTGTTAAAATAATGAAAAGCTATAATTTTAATCACGCCGTTTCCATGTAAGAGAGTAAATCTAAAACTTTTTAGCAAAATAATAACAATGATAAAACCATAAAATGTTTATTTTTAAGTTTGGAGACTTCCGATAGTATAACTAGGTCGATGTCAATGTGTTATTTTTTATTTCTTATTTAGAGCAATGATGACTGACAGGTATCTGTTCGAACAAGCATACAAAACATCACATCACAATATTATGTTTTCTTCTTATTTCGATAAACAACACAATTTTGAATGTGTTTTAAATAAGTTTCCGTGTATAAAAGTAAAAGTATATTATTATACAGAAGAGTGGTTACAATAATAAAAAAAATGCAATTGGTTGTTACTTACTACTTATGGCTACAAATGGAACTAAATTATTATAGAAACCCTAATCTACTGGCGTGACAAAGACCTTGACAACTCGAATACCAGAAAAGGTATAGCGATAAACAATCATAGCACTTCGTTATAAAACCTATAGCGTCTTGCAATCGAATCGAAGCTAAAATAAAATAGTTCAATCATTTTAGGGGAAGGATTAATAGTTATATATTTTGTTTTGACAATGCTAATCGATAGTATTATATTATCTAAAAATTGTCCTTACAAAATGGGAAATAATTGGACTATTTTTAAAAATTGTGTAAATCTATAGGGTCTATTTTTTCAAAAAGTATTAGTACGCCTTAATTTATAGTTAATTGAGTATATATATTTTGTTTTTTTTTTTTTGGGGGGGGGGGGGTTTCCACTACAAGAGATTATATAGAAATCTTTAATTAATCGTTATAATTTTTACAAAATATTTCAAATTTTCAAATTAAAAATTCCG